GTAGTAGTAGTAGTAGTAGTACAAGTCGTAGCAGTAGAAAAAACAGGCCTAATGAAAGCAATAGCTAATAATGACAACCACCGTACCAATGGCGTCCTCTTGAACGCTAGTCTGGAGAACAAGGATAAGTAGGCCAGGGTCTCGGGCCTTGCGAAGATTGCTGTTTCTGGTGTAGGGTTTTCGGTTTGGGTTTGGGCGTGGATGCTCTCAAGAACGGGCCTGTGGATTTTACAGTTTAGGGTTAGGACAAGACAGTTGGGGTTAAAGGTTGGGGGCTGGGTAATCCAGACTGATATTTGCGGCACTTGTTCGCCAATTTTCGGTGACCTGCACCCCTATCAAGCCTCATCACAAAAAGCTCAAGCAAAAAACTTCGGACAAAAACTCTATAATCTATAACAACCCCCTAAACCCCAAGCCCTAAACGCTAGACCCTAAACCCTAAACCCTACCTCAGTCAAGCGAGAGCGTTCCAGGCCTTCGGCTTTGCCCTGGGCACCCACTTCAAGCGCTGGCGCTTCTGCTGCGGTGGCATGGCTCGGACTGCCAGGCCTGACCCCTTCTGATGTAAGGCTTTTAGGGTTTAGGGTTTGGGGTTTTAACCCCTAAACCCTAAACCAGGGTCTAGGTTTCGGCGGTCACACTCGGACCAGCCAGGTGAGGCATATGGTTCGAGGTCTGTGGAGAAGTGAAACCAAGGCGAGTTCAAGACCGCAGGCACAACATCCCATCCGTAGATCCTGGACTAGGGTTTAGGGTTTAAGCTTTAGGGTTTGGGATTATGGTTCAGGGTTCAAGGTTTTGGGATTATGTTCTCCTGAAGTGGATCGATAAGGGTTCCTGGCAGAATTGTGAAGGTTTTCATTCGGAGTGTAAGGACTTAAACGTCTAAGGTTTGGGGTTTAAGGTTTCGGGATCAGAGCCTAAGAGGATTCCGTGAATAGGGTTTAGGGTTTAGGGCCTGGGTTTATGCCTTGGGGTGTGAGCTTCGGTTTGGAGTATAGCACTTCGCGGTTTCGGTCTCACATGTCTGGTCCCCGGTGTGAACCCTAAAACTTTAACTCCAAAACCTTAAAACTCCTGAACTCTTAAGCCCTAAACCCTAAACCCCAACAACGTGAGCCTGACCTTTGCTGCCAAGGGTTTAGGGTTTAGGGTTTAGGGTTTAGGGAAGGGTGTCTGGCCCAGGAAATTAGCCCAAGGATGCTCCCTGACATGGCACCGAAATGACGGCGGCACGCGCGCGGCTCACCACAGCAAAGGTTTCAGGCTCTAGTTTTAGTTTAGGTTCTGTCGTACAGTTTGACAGTTAACCTTTAGGGTTTAGGGTTTAAGGGCTTTAGGGTTTTAGGGTTTCGG